GGTGGGTGTGGCCGCTTCTCCCCCAAGAGAAGCTGCCCAGGTGCTCCACGCTGCTGTCGCAGGGGCGTTTCACCCGCCGAGGTGCTGAAATGCTGGAGGCACAATGCTGGAGCGCCTGGGAGCCCCCCCTGCAAGTGGGGGGTTTGCAAATCCCAGCCCTGGGTGCTGCGGCTTGGGTCCAGCTCTGTACGGTGTGGGTATTCTGAGGGGAAAGAAATGGGGAAAGATCCACCTTTTCCAGGATGCCAAAGGATCTCACCTTTCCTCCCCACCACCAGTGACTCCGATGGGAGCGGTGCTGGTGCTGATGGGTGGTGTGTGCCGTGAGCGAGGAGCGTCTCAGGGCGGCGGGGGCTCGTTGCCACCCACCCCTGTGCTTCTTGCTCATATGTGCAATAAGCCAGGCTCTGCTTGCAAACAGACAGACCTGGGTCTTTTAAGAGGGGCTCCAGGACGCCAGTCCATGTCTCTTTTCCCCAGGGAACCCCTGGCAGAGGGATGCTGTGGGTCCCTGCCTGCGTGGTCTACTTTGAAAGAGAAGAATGCCAAATCACATCCCCCCTGGGGGTCCCACAGCCGAACAGCGGTTGTCCGTGTGTTCCTGGGGACTGTGGCAGCCCTAAAGCAGTTCCCGGTTTCTGTTTGTGTAGGGTGCAAACCCCACCGACACACACTTCTGCTTCCCCCCTGCAGATGATGCAAACCAACATCCCCGGGGTCTTCGCAGCCGGTGACGCTGTCACGTTCCCGCTGGCCTTGAGGAATAATAAGAAAGTGAACGTCCCCCACTGGCAGATGGCCCATATGCACGGTAGGCGCTTTCCAGTCCCTTTGCTTTGCAGCAGCAGGTTGCTTACAGAACAGAGCCTTTTCCAGATCCCGGGAAATTCCCAAGCCCTCTAGTGAGAGACTAAGACAGCTGCCAGCCGGGAAACCACGTAGTTGTACTAAATATTTTGAAGCGTGTGAACCATTTTATCCTGTCCGATATGCCTTCGTTTGTCAGCCTTCTGGACATGCGTTGCCTAACGATGCCTCATTACAAACACAGAGGTGCCCAGGGACAGGCTTTCCCGTACGCCGTGTGCTCCCTGGCATCTGCAGGTGCTGCAGGAGCCTGATCTTCTCCTTGCCCTGGGACACTTTGGAGCTCACATCCCTGAGGAGAAGGACTTGGGGGTGTTGGCTCATGTGTTCAACACGACCCGTCAATGTGCGCTCACGGCCCAGAAAGCCAACCGTGTCCTGGGCTGCGTGTCCAGCAGCGTGCCCAGCAGGTCGAGGGAGGGGATTCT